ATGGTGGCCAACCTTTTATGTGAGAAATGTTTTGGTCCCTACTACACTGAGCCAGTCATTGCTAGGTTGGACCAAAAGACCTTGAAGCCCTTCATTTGCTCTCTAGACCTCACTGGTTGCCCCACTGTGACTGATGAATTTGTGGTCAGTGGCACCTGCACCGAACAAATGTACAGGATGTGTAAGTCCCTCTGGGAGCCTGACATGGATCCAGAACACCTGTGTGAAACAGTCTCCCAAGCCATCCTGAGTTTCATGGACTGGGATGCAGTGTCAGTCATGGGAGTCATTGTCCACATCATTGAAGACAGAATCACCACCAAGACATTGAAGGCCCGAATGGACTAACTCTGTTCCCAGAGCCCACCTTTTTTTTTTTTTTAAATAAATATTCTTTCTTTAAAAAAAAAAAATATATTCCTGAAGTTCTAGTTCCTCATATATTAAATGTTTGCCACAAAAAAAGTATTGCAAAATAGGGACTAAATGAAATTCAAGAGATTACTTTGGTACTGGCCGTATTATGCCCAGTTTTTTACTATTTCTCTAATGTAGATGGTTATGGAATTTTTCTGTTGGGTTACAGTTAACTGCCAGTAAAGTAAATATTCTCTGGAATTTTGTTTAAGAAATACTGTTTTAGAGATAATAATTTAGAATGTTAATTAAATAAAAATACTGACAGCATTTGCTACTCTGACCTAGGGTTTGGGGATGTGGAGATAAAAAATACAACCCCTGCCCTCGAGAGGCTCTTGGTGTAGATGGGAAGCAACAGAATAATTACAGTATATCGTGATAAATGCTGTGATAAAAGCAGAGGTCCTTGGAACCCAAGAATGTTTGAAGTGACTGTTGGAGATGGCAGGAGGTAATGTGGAGAGGCAGAAGGTGCTTTCAAGCTAGGGAACAGCACATGTGGAGGCACAGAGAGGTGAGAGGAGGGAGTACCTTTGGTTTATTTTCTGTGCTGTATGTTTATCTTGATAGGCTCTTTTATAAGGTTTTCAGTTCAGTAGAGAAATATATAATTTTGGGAATGATAAATGGTTTTTGCTATATTCCAGAGTCACCACACCCCACTTTTACTTGCTGTCAGGAATAACAAAGAGAAAATGGTGGAGTTTTTACTAAAGAATGGAGCAAACAAAGATGAAGTTGATAAATCAAAAAGGTAGAGCGCTTGCTTCTTTTTGTTGTTATAAACTTGCGTGGTATTCTGGAGTGGTAAGTCACTCAAGTCAGAAATAGTCAAGTAATGAGATGGTTAACTTGTAACTATTGAAATATAGTGGCTCGGCGCCTGTGGCTCAAGCAGCTAAGGCGCCAGCCACATACACCTAAGGTGGCAGGTTCGAATCCCCAGCCCGGGCCCGCCAAACAACAATGATGGCTGCAACCAAAAAATGGCCAGGCATTGTGGCGAGCGCCTGTAGTCCCAGCTACTTGAGAGGCTGAGGCAGGAGACTCACTTGAGCCCAGGAGTTGGAGGTTGCTGTGAGCGTGATGCCATGGCACTCTACCCAGGGGGACAGCTTGAGGCTCTGTCTCAAAAAAAAAAAAAAAGAAAGAAATACAGTGAAAAATATCAATACAAATTATAAGTTATGTATAAAGGTAGTTCGTTGGACCAGGCAATATAAAGAACATAATATAGTAGGATTCATCTTTTAATAGTGACTGATGTTTAATTATTCCTAATCTGATATTTTGGGTCATTATGATGTTACATTAGCTGAAGGGGATTCACTTTAGTTTTCATAATCTAAAGTTCACTGACTGCCTCAATATTGAACTTCTTGACACTTTTATAATACTTTTTAAATTCTGTTTTTTATGTACTTCTTTAAAAATGCTCATGGTAAACATAAATCGGAGTTGAAAATTACTTTGTCTTTGGATGCGTCTTTGCTTTGCGTTGCTTTCTCTGAGGAATACTGATGTTAGGTAATCCATAAAGGATTATTGATTGCTATTAATAGTCTGTAAGTGTTTTCCTTTTCATTTCTAGTGGTATTTTGATGTTTTTCTTTTTAATTGGTAAGGGCAGAAGGCAGAAAGCTTAAATTGGATAACTTTTTCTTTAATGAAGACAAACCATAAATGGTGAGTGACAACGAGAAAAGAAGGAAGCTTTAGGTTCACACAAGCCTGGGTTTAATTCCTGACCTCCCCACTAAGTAGGTGTGTGTGACCTTGGGAACATGACTTATTACCAAATACGCTTTCTGGTTAAAAAACAAAGGAGGATAATAACATATCCTTCTGGGGTGTTTGTGGGTAAGTAAGATCAGACATATTGACACTGAATTCAGGGCCTAGCACATGCTTATTAGCAGACTGGCAGAAACTGCGATGACTCCTGATATTACCAGCGTTACTCATGTTACTGTTTTTACCCTGTGGACAGTTCTTACTTATCTGACCTGTAGGTGATTTTGTTACAATCATTATATGAGACTAGAGAAGACAGGGAGAATTCTTCATATCTTTGGGCAAGAGCGGTATTTTTTTCTTTCCTTTTAGCCCAGGTGGTAACTTACACAGATGAACACTTGAGCACCAGACACTTAGGCTTTTAGTGTATTAGTACGTGTAAATGGTTAATTCTGCACTGACAGGCAAGATATTAAATTGGTAAAGCATAACAAATTAGTCTTTGAAGTAATTTTATTAAAGTTCCAAAGGGTGAAGTCTTCTCTCTGTTATTTTAGAAAAGCTGTTGTGGGCTTGGCGCCTGTGGCTCAAGCAGCTAAGGCGCCAGCCACATACACCTAAGGTGGTGGGTTCGAATCCCCAGCCCGGGCCCACCAAACAACAATGATGGCTG